ACATGCTCCTGAGCCCAAGGCCAGCCATCGGAGCCTGCAAGGGGCAGTGAGCAGAATCCTACCATTGCCAGGCACACTGGGGAACTTCAGGGGCACCCCATCCTCCCTAGTCTCAGCCTGCATGATCTCCAGTGGTCCCTCAGTGACATTCTGAGTGTCCATGTATCATCTTAGGGGGACAGTCCATATCCTTAGGGACTGACACCAGATCAAGAGGCGTCACACTCACTACTGGATGATACCTGCAGCCCTCTCCCCAGCCCCCTTCCTTCCTGATGGCTACCACCTCCACCCCTTCTCATGACACGGAGGCCAGGCTTGCACTTTGAGATCTCAACTCTAATTTTGCTTCTCAGCTGTCCCTAACCACCCAGCCTGGAAAGCTCCTGCTTTCCTGCTTGAGTCCCCAAGTCAGTCCCTGCAGGCTTCCCTTGGAACCCTTGGTTTTTATGTTTCCCGCTTCCTGTAAGAACCACAGGGCAGGACCTTGTCTTCCTAGCCTCTATTGGGTCCCAAAGGCCTGGTCCAGGGCAGGTACACTCAGTAAAGTGAATAAATGAATGTTCACTGCCAACAGCCTCCCAGGCGCAGATCAGCTCACCCAGACTCTGCTGCCCACAGTCCACATCAACCACCTTTAAGCCTCTTCTCCTATTGCAACCCCATACCCACTGCCCTAACTGTCCTGCTGGCTGCTCACAGAACCTCCTGTCTGCCTCCAAACTTTTGCCCATCAGGACCCTCCACTTGGAACTCCCTGACTACTATGTGGCCTTCACCACCCAGCTCAAGACACCATGTAATTCCCGAGAACCTTTTCTGTTTCTTCCAATTGGAAGCATTGCCTCTCTGGTCTCTGGTCTCTGGTCTCTGGGCCCCAGTGGACAAATCTCTGTCAGAGAGGAGGACCGCACTCTCATTAATAGATTGTTGGCTGGGCGAAGAGGCTCATGCCTGTAATCCCAGCACTTTGGGAGGCTGACGGGGGCAGATCACTTGAGGCCAGGAGTTCAAGACCAGCCTGACCAACATAACGAAACCCCATCTCTACTAAAAGTACAAAAAATTAGCCAGGCATGGCAGCTCACACCTGTAATCCCAGCTACTTGGGAGGCTGAGGCAGCAGACTCGCTTAAGCCCAGGAGGTAGAGGTTGCAGTGAGCCAAGATCGAGCCATTGCACTCCAGCCTGGATGACGGAGCAAGACTCTGTCTCAAAAACAACAACAACAACCACCAGATTGTCTTCTGATTGAACAGGTTCTCTATAAATCTAAATACTGATTATCCTCCCCCAGCCTACCCCAGCTCTCACCATGGCCACAGCCAGGCCTATCACCGTGATGATCCCAAAGGACAGAAGCATGGTACCCACGCCGGCCGTGCCACCAGCCGCATCAGGGATTCTGGTGTCATTAAAGGTGGTGGCCTCTGGGCTGAGGGTAGTGGTCTCGGAGGCTGGCCCATCTGTGGCAGGTTCCAGGTCAGACTCAGAGGTGGGTGGGCGGCTGCTGAACCAGCCCCTAGCAGATGCGGTCCTGGAGTTCATGCTGACGCGGAGAGGGCCCTGGCTGAGAGGCTGCCTGAGGCCAGTCAACCTGCCCACTCACTCCTGACTCCGGAGTGCCCCAGCCTGTGGTTCTTGCCACCTGTGGTGGCCACCTGCACAGTCACCTCCTTGGATAAAGGGAGCCCCCTGCCTTCCTGGGTGCTAGAAAGGAAAGAATAAGAAACATAAGGCTAAGGACAGGGACTCGTAGTGAGATGAAGTCTCTCTAGGTTCTGAAAGCATTGGTGAGGTAAAGGTTTGAGGGCAAGGATGAGGGCAAGTTCAGGAGGCATTAGGACACATATTTACATATCTATGGTACCCCTGTTTTTAGGAACAAAAATGAAGCCCTGCATCCTCTGTGGATAAGATGATCATAGTGATCAAACCTGGAAGATATGAAAGACAGCAGGGATGTTTGAAAGAAAAGGTCTCCCTCCCCTGATCAAAAACTCCCCACAACCTGCGTCCCCATATCCCCCACCACCCCACATCCACCGCCTCATTCCCTGCCTCCCACATCCCTCATCCTGCTTGCGGAAAAAATACCACAGCTTTTTCCTTTCCTGGAGGGAAACACTTGCCCAAGAGTCAGACAAGCCTGTCTTTGAAACCTAGCTCAGCCACTTAACTAGTGATCCCTGGAAAGTCACTCCACCTCTCTGTGTCTCTGTTTTCCTGAGTCTACAGGGTCATGGGGTTACAGAAATGGCAGAACAAACAGGTCTCAAAGAAAGACTTAGTTCAGCACAACCCCCATCCACAGTAAGAATCCACTACATGTTAGATTTTCTCCCCATGGCCAACCCAGTCACAAAGGGGAGACATGGGAGCCCCTGGACCCAGTCCACTGTGTGGTCCAGACTATGCTTGGAGTGTGGGGAGGCTGATGTGGAAAGACCAGAAGACAAGAAGGAGATAGAGGCTCTGGTTCTTTGGCCGGGCTTCTCTGCAGGCTCTCGGGGACATTGGACTGCCCTTCCCACCCACCAACAATAGAGGGGCTGCTAGGGTCAAGAAGAAAGGCGAGGAAGGAATGGAGCTCCCAGTTTGGGCGCCTTCTCTTCCTTTACCCTCCTCCTCTGGAAGCAGAAGGTGAGAGATTTGCCCAGTGCAGAGGGCCCTGGTTAAGGTGGGGTGGGAAGAGGTCCCAGCCAAGCTGCAGAGGGGGCGGCCTAGGGAGAGGAAGGATACCTAGCTCATGGGTACACACGTCCCTTTCTGTGCTGGTTCATGGGCATTAGTGGGGGTGCCTCCCTGTGCAGATGCATGTATGTGTGTGAGGTGTGTACACACCTCTGGTGGCCCCTGAGGAAGGGGCAAGGCTGGCAGAGGGCTATGGGGTAGAAAAGGCTCATCCCTCTTTGCCTTCTCCCTCCAGCTAGGCTGGGCACATAGGAAGTCCCGGGTTCTTTTATTGGTTTTGCAACTGATCCCGGGCGTGACCTTGGGCCAAACCCTTAACTCTGGGGCTCTGTTTACATCGCCTCCCAAAGGAGAGAAGGGGCCCTACTGACCACTTTCGCCTGGAAAGTGCCTCAGGGTCCAAAGGGTAAGGGAAGGAAACCGGGGCGAAAGGGGTCGGCACCGCGACCTTTGAGAACCCGCATGCCGTTCTCCACCAGGTCTCTCAGTCCTCCCTGCCCCAATCCCCATGCCCGCCTCCGCGACCCTGTGATGCCTCCCTTCTTGCACAGGAGCAGCGACCTCAGCACTTACTTAATCCTCTCCCGGCGCCGAGCTCAGTTGGAGAGGCTAGGGGTGGTAGTGACTGGCAGGAGGCCGGGGCGGGGGGAACCCCCAGGCCCGGCGTGGGGCTGCGGGTCCGACCAGAGGTCCACCCTCCCTGCAAGCTCCGAGCCGCTGGCCAGGCCCGCTACTGCGCACCGGCCTCAGCTGCGAGCGCTGGCTCTGCCGGCCTGAGCCAGGGTGGGTGAGCTAGTGTGGGTAGGGCCGGGACCCACGGCGGGGGTGGGGCCGGGCGGGCAGCCTCGGGGGATCCCCGAAGCTACAGCGCCTTGCCTCCCTGCGCGCTCCGCGCCCCCGGTCCCCGATTGGCTGTCGGGCCTAGAGCCCGCCCAGAATTGGACTGTTCGCTTGTCGCTCGGGTCTGGCTCCACCCCTAGAGGGAGCCTGGAGCCTGGAGCCTGGAGCCTGGTTGCAGTTTTTAGAGAGTAGCCCTGACTGCGTGGCCTGCGCTGAAGTTGGGCTGGGGACCGTACGTGGCTAGGTCCTTCCCAGGCCAGACCTCGGGACCCCTGCCAGCTACCCGTGCCAGGGCAGACTCACGCCCCCAAAACGCGGATGTACAGAGGAGACTTGGGGAGAGCAGTGGACTGGGAGTCCTTGGGCCTGCACTGAACTCTGGCTGACTTTGTGACCTTGAAGAAACTACTTTTCCCTTCGTGAACCTTGGCTTTCTACTCAGATGGGTCCTCTGGTGTGAGGGTTCTTGGCAAATGACTCCAACCCCGGGCTAGAAATGGGAAATCTGCGTCCAGAGAAGTTGAGAGTGGGGCGGATTTATTATTGGGCACCCCGACCCAGGCAAGTCTACATATACCCTTACAATAGCTTCCATCCACAGCATGATCAGCTCAGGGAAGGAGCCCTCAGATACTCCGGAGCCCTCAGATACTCCTAATCCGCCGGTTTTCAAAGGAGTTTATGGGGGTCACAGGGTAGCCTGGTACAAATGCGAACGCTCCTGTGTCTCCCGGTCTGGGAAGGATCCAGGGAAACGGCATGTTTAATAGTTTAAGGCCTGGCGTGGTGGCTCACGCCTGTAATCCCAGCACTTTGAGAGGCCGAGGCAATGGATCACCTAAGGTCAGGAGTTCGAGACCAGCTTGACCAACATGGTGAAACCCCGTCTCTATTAAAAATACAGAATTAGCCGGTCGTGTTGGCTCACGTCTGTAATCCCAGCTAATTGGGAGACTAAGGCTGGAGAATCGCTTGAACCTGGAGTCCGAGGTTGCAGTGAGCAGAGATCGCGCCATTGTACTTCACCCTGGGCAACAAGAGCAAAACTCCGTCTCAAAAAAAAAAAAAAAAAAAAAAAAGGTAGTTAACAGTACATTCTGGTGGGGGGATGTTGACAAGACACACTTTGCGAGACGCTGCCGTGTATTTTATAGAAGGCGCAACTGAGGTCCAGAGGGGTCCCAACACCTGGACAAAGTCTCTTGATGAGTTGCCAAATAGAGTCAGGATTCGCACCAGGAAAAGAGTGGCCCCTGGGGTCTGGCTGCCACTCAGCCGGCCCCCTGGTGGGCTCGGCCACTGACCTAGGTAGGGTCACGACACTGGGACTGGACCCCAAAGTTGGACCTGTCTTCAACACTGGAACCCGCCTTCGCACAGCTCCACCCGGCTAAGATAGACCACGCCCCCGGACATCTGGTCCCCGCCCGAACACACAGGCCCTTTGGTGACACGCCTCCGTTCCGGCAGGCTACTGGGCTCTGCCCACACACCTACCAGGCTCGGTTCCTAAAAGCCAGCTCGGAGCAATCCCCTTGGGTTGGAGCCAAATCCCTGATGTGATTTTAAGGAAGACCAGCAGGTCCGGGTCTCCAGGGGTCAACCCCACACACATCCCCCGCACTTTCCTGCATGTAGGCCTGCGGGCGTAGAGGGCGTGGAATTCACACCCTCCCCACCCATCCGCAGGGGTCTCCTGGGAGGAACCCACAGGCGATGGGAACCCTGAAGCTGGGCTACGGTGTCCGCCCGAGCCTTTTCTTAAATGCGCCAACCCCGGAAGCGGGGCATCCAAGGGAGCGAGCGACGGGCCACGCACGTCCTGGCGTTCAGTACGGGGCAGCTTCTCCGGCTGGTGGGAGGGTGGGGAGCCTCTCAGGCAGGTATGCACGGGAGGTGGGGATCGGAAGGGGATGTTTCGACTGCAACCGCCTGGAGACCTGGCCGGTCCCATTCTCCAGAGTGCAGATGGAGAAACAGGATTGGAGGGAGGGGACCCCGTCTGGGTCGTTAACAATGCAGTGCATAGCTGTGAGGGAATTTACACCTCTGACTTCGGGCCTTGGTTCCTGGGACGGCGTACTGGTGCACAGAGCCGCTTCTGGAGTCTGGTGGACTCTCGGGTTCGTGTCTTGCCTGGGACAGTTTCTTTTTCTCTCTCTCTCTTTTTTTTTTTTTTTTGGAGACGGAGTCTCTCTCTGGCACCCAGGCTGGAGTGCAGTGGCATGACCTCGGCTCGCTGCAACCTCTGCCTGCTGGGTTCAAACAATTCTCCTGCCTCAGCCTCCCGAGTAGCTGGGACTGCAGGCGCCGGCCACCGTGCCCGGCTAATTTTTTGTATCTTTAGTAGAGACGGGGTTTCACTATGCTGGCCAGGCTGGTCTGGAACTCGTGACCTCGTGATCCGCCCACTTCGGCCTCCCAAAGTGCTGGAATTACACAGGCGTGAGCCACTGTGCCCAGCTTACCTGGGACAGTTTCTACCTAAGTGACGTTGGGCAAGTCGCTTCCCTTCTCGGACCCTACTTGTATTTGAAGATGTGGCACTTAGCAGGTGCTCAATAAATGCTAGTTTGGACTTTTATCTGGAAGCAAAGGGGACCGCTGATTTTAAACCTTCAGTTAAACTTGCTTGTGACATCTTTAAATATAAAATTGTAAATTTTTAAGTTGGCGGTTTACACTAATGTCCTGGATTATGGGTTAAATTAGGAGGAAATTTTCAGCATATAAATCCTTGACAGTACACACAAAATGTCAGATTCAAAGCTCCCAATCAAAGGCAATCATCTGCCCCTTGTAACATCAGTTAAGATCGTGTAACATCTGGTCTCTGCTGTGTGTTGAGCTGCCTCCCAGGCCTTGGATATTCATAGTCTAATGCTTTGCTTGCCATGGGTTTGGTGTGATTTTCTCCCATCTTACGGATTAAGAAAGTGAAATTCAGAAATAATGACTTGCTTAAGATCACACACACTAGGTTAGACACAGATCTGTCCTATCCCCAAATATGTGCCCTAACCTGCCACCAACCCATTTATTAGCAGAGACTGAGCCATGGGCTGAGCCCATTCCAGCTAAAAATGTGAAGAAAACATAAGTGGCAGGCCGGGCGCGGTGGCTCAAGCCTGTAATCCCAGCACTTTGGGAGGCCGAGACGGGTGGATCACGAGGTCAGGAGATTGAGACCAGCCTGGCTAACACGGTGAAACCCCGTCTCTACTAAAAAAATACAAAAAACTAACTGGGCCAGGCGGCGGGCACCTGTAGTCCCAGCTACTCGGGAGGCTGAGGCAGGAGAATGGCGTAGACCCGGGAGGCGGAGCTTGCAGTGAGCTGAGATCCGGCCACTGCACTCCAGCCTGGGTGACAGAGAGAGACTCCGTCTCAAAAAAAAAAAAAAAGGCCGGGCGCGGTGGCTCAAGCCTGTAATCTCAGCACTTTGGGAGGCCGAGACGGGCGGATCACGAGGTCAGGAGATCGAGACCATCCTGGCTAACACGGTGAAACCCCGTCTCTACTAAAAAATACAAAAAACTAGCCGGGCGCGGTGGCGGGCGCCTGTAGTCCCAACTACTCGGGAGGCTGAGGCAGGAGAATGGCGTGAACCCAGGAGGCGGAGCTTGCAGTGAGCTGAGATCCGGCCACTGCACTCCAGCCTGGGGGGCAGAGCGAGACTCCGTCTCAAAAAAAAAAAAAAAAAAAAAAAACATAAGTGGCCAAGACAAGAATGATCAGATAGGTGGGTGAGGCTCTAAATGGAGTCAAGGGGGTGTCAGCAAGAGCACAACTATTCTCAGGCAATGTACTGGTAGAAGGGGGGATGTCATACAAGGCTCACCTGCTTTCCTGGTTCCTTTCACTCCCAGGGTGGCAACCAACTATATCTGAGGACCAGAGCCATTTTGGGGCACCAGAACTTGTGACCTCTCCATCTCCACCCAGCTGGGTCCAGGGGCCACTCTCAGCACCCACCTCAGCAGCTGACATCGTAAGGCAGACTTGGGAACCTGGAAGCACTCTGGAGAACCTTTTCCTGAGACATGGAGCTTTGGGGCCGTATGCTGTGGGCCCTCCTGTCTGGCCCAGGGAGAGGGGGAAGTACCCTCGGCTGGGCCTTCAGCTCATGGCAACCCCAACCACCTCTGGCTGGGTTATCCAGTGCCACAGAACTGGTCAGCCACTGGACTAGGGTCTTTGAGAAAAGAGGTATCCCTGAGGCCCGGGAATCCAGTGAGTACATCGTGGCTCATGTCCTTGGAGCCAAAACAGTTAAGTTCAGTGTTGTCAAGAGGACAGGAAGAGGGAGGAGGGAGGACTTTGGGAAGGGATATCCAGGTTTTCTGTTCACTAAGAGTTCTTAGCTGAGACTGATGGGATTTTTCTGAAGGAACGTCTTAGCACCTGGCACACACTGTAACAGTTTGTTGGATGAATGAATAAATCTCTGCCTAAGTGTTCTGGGATAGACACCTGGAGGCCTGGTATTAGCTGTGTAACCTTGGGCAGGATGCTGCCCCCTCTGGGCCCAGATGATGAGAGCGTTGGGCCTCCAGACCAGTGCTAGGCAGGCATTATCCACATAAGACACCTGGGTTGGGGCCCCTGGGCCCAGTGAGCCAGCCACTTACATTCTCTGTGGGGACAGTTTCAGAGCCTGAGGCCGGCACTTTGGACCCAGCCCTTGACCTCTCAGCAACTACAGTGTATCCGGGAGCTGAGTAGCCGTCGATTGCAGAGGTGAGCACCCATGGATCAGACCTGAACAATGTGTTTGGGGAGCAGCAGTCCAGCTTCCCCTATCCCCACCAAGTTCAGGGAGGAGGAGAATGTCCAAGGACTAAGGAGGTGTTAGGGTGCAGGGGTGGCAAGAGTGGGGCTGGGGTAGTGAATAGAAGAAGGGAGGGAGGGAAGGCTTTGCCTCAGGAGTCCCAAGGCCCTGGAGACATGGTCTTGCCTGATACCCTTGGCCACAAGTGGTATCTCTCAACCCAGGCATGGTCCTATTGGTCCTGGCTCTGTCAATGATGACCACCCGGCTGCCCCCTCTGCAGGATGCCGGTGCAGTACATCCTTGGAGAGTGGGACTTTCAGGGGCTCAGCCTGAGGATGGTGCCCCCAGTGTTTATTCCTCGGCCAGAAACAGAGGTAGGTGTGCCACCAAGGCAAGGCAGGATCAGGATGAGGGTGGAGTTCAGGGTACCGGTCTTACCCCAGGCTTCCTCCAGGGGGCACTGGGGCCCCATGACTTCAGGGACATTGCCTTTCTAGACACGTATCTTCTCACTGTCTGTGGTGGCAGAGCCCAGAGGACAAGATTCCTGTTGGTCCCCTTGACTGTCATGTTCCAAGCTACCACCCCAGCCTCTAGGTCTGGCAATGTCCCAGAGTGCCTCAAATAGTGCTGCCCAAGTACTTAGACTGTTCCGCTGTTTCTCTGGGAGCTGTCCCATGGCTTACCCAACCCACAGGGAACAGTGTCCTCCAGCAGCTTCTCAGGAGGCATGGAGGAAGTGGAGAGGGCTCCAGCCGGACACCTGGAGACCTGGTATCAGCTGTGTGACCTCGGGCAGGTCACTGCCCTACTGCCCTCTCTGGGCCCAGTTGATGAGAGGGTTAGGCCTCCAGACCAGAGAATCTGATCTACTGACTGGTCTGGTAATCACCCGTGTTGTCCCTCAAATTACTAGGACTAGGGATGTGCGGCGCAAATGTGCTATCCCTTGGTAAGGCACCCTGGTCCTGGAAGAGACGTTTTCTATGGCCCTTCTTGGACTCCCCTCTGACTTTGTAGGTGGCAGAGCTGGGAGCCAGAGGGTACAGACCAGGGAGTAGAGCTGAGTGAGAGCTGGTGGGCAAGTCAGAGGGCGGCACGTTCTGAGAAGGAATGTTTCTAGAAAGACCCAAGCACACAAACATTTCTGGGAAAGATTCCCATTCCCCTGCCGTGGCCAGGGGCCCCAAACCCTTCCTTCACTTTCCCAGCTTCTGTCCCCTAGCCAAGAAACTCTCTGACACCTCTCCCCTCCATGTCATCTGGTTGGGAGGCCAGGTCCTTGCTTCATTGCCCAGTGTCAGGGCAGGGACAGTAGGGAATCTGAGGCCTTGCTGAAGTCACAGGGCTGTCAAGGAAGGGAGCATGAGGGCAGCACTTGGACTTCCTGACTCCCAAGTCAGAGCCCCATCCCTCTCATGGTGGCTCCCCTATCTGGGATTGGCATGACCTAGGACACAGTATGGAGACCCAGAGCAAGGTGTGGCCTGCCACCTGCAGGCCTTGGGAGGCTTACCTGTGGCTCCCAAAAACACGTGATCTCTGGCGAAGAGATCATTTGCTGTCTCCGGCTGCCCAGGGTCAGGGCATGGTGACCTTTAAGTTCCTTCAGAGCTGACCTGGCACCAGCCATATGTGCCAGGGTTCTGAGTATCAAGTGTGGACTTTGGCTCCCATGTGGCCCCTGATTCTTAGATTGGTCTGGGCCAAGAGAGCAGCTCTACTGCAAGGGGTGGGGTGAGGGGAGATGCTGCGATTGGGAGGCCAGGTGCTCACCTCACTGTGCAGACATTTCTGAGAACTCACCAGGTTCACCCCAATGTAAAGCCACATCGGGGGATGCCTTACCAAGAACTCAAGAGGACGTGGCCTGTGGCAGAGAGTGGTGAGAATGGGTGCAGAGGATGGTGTCTGATGAAGGAGGAGTCTGAAGTGCAAACTTGCAGGAGGCATGTGACCAGTGAGTTGGATTTTCCCTAGGGGTGAGAAGGTGGTTCAGCTTCTGGCCTGGCAGTGAGTACAGTGGGAAACTCAGGGCTGGGGGTGTGAACCATTCTCACCTGGCCTGCTGTGAGGCTGTACAGGTTGTGGGAGGATCAGTGTTTTGTCTGTGATTGACTCGAAGGAGGCAATGCCACCTCCCTGGGTCTGCTCCACCAGGGATGCCATCCTAATAGAGGGTACTTGTGGGCACTCAGGTTCTGCTGAGGCCTTGGGCCAACCTCTTGATGGGGTATGAAGTCCATGTTGGGGCAGCAGTTCTAGGCAGAGCCAACAGCTGCCTGCCCCTCACCTCCTTCCTGCATGCCCCTGTGCCCCACCTTGTTTTTGGATTCTTTCCATATTCACCTGGAGGGGGTGCCTTGAGCCTGTGACCAGCTTGGCTTTTAGTCTCCCTGAAAGAGCCACCAGCGTCAGGCTGAGGGAGGCTCTTCACTGGGCGGAGAAGAGAAAGTTTCTGGACTTCTTGTGCTGTTGTCTATCCCTGCCCCAAGTGGCCCTACAACCAAGATGAGCCTCCTGTGCTCTGGAGTATTATGGCAAGCAAGAGGCCAATAGCCGTGGCAGGGGCTCAGTTTCTCAGCTTCTCACCCTCCCCAAGGTGGCCATCCACATATGTGGGGTGTGTCTTTGAGTATCTCTGTGAGGTGACTGGCCAGTGTGGCTGACTGAGGGTTCATTCCCCAGCCAGAGTAGGTCTATGGCCAGGAAACCAAGAGAGGCTCAACACCTGACAAGTCCTGGTCACCCTGCCAACCTCTCAGCGTGTGGCCTCACCACTGAGACCACAGGCTCTCAGCCACAACCCTACACTGCTCACTCTGTACCTGTCCCAACCCTGCAGGCCCAGATTGCCACAAGTACCCTAGTGGTCTCCGGTAGTGCCTAGCACAGGGCTGGTGAGAGCTAGTGAATATATGCCCTCTCCTGCTGGAGCTGGACCCCCTCACCCACAGGCAATCATTTGTTTGATGCAGAAGAGGCTTGGAACAGGGAGGTTTGCACCTGCTGGCCAAGTTCTGCCTGGCTTGGACTTGCCATCCTCAGGGTGGGTGAACATTGTTGCTGGGGTTGGGGGCCTGGAAGGGTGAGATACTTTTTGGAACCCAGCACTGGGGAACTTATGTGGAAAATGGGTGTGAGTGAGGCTGATGGCATTGGGGTGTTGGGGAGACCTGGCAGTGTGAGACGCAGAGGGTGGTGCCACAGAGAGTTTGCCCAGCACTTAGAAAGTAGCCAAGAGGGTCGGGCGCCATGGCTCACACCTGTAATCCCAGCACTTTGGGAGTCCGAGGCGGGCGGATCACCTGAGGTTGGGAGTTCGAGACCAGCCTGACCAACGTGGAGAAACCCTGTCTCTACTAAAAATACAAAATTAGCCAGGCATGGTGTTGCATGCCTGTTATCCCAGCTACTCGGGAAGGCTGAGACAGGCGAATTGCTTAAACTGGGAGGCGGAGGTTGCGGTGAGCCAAGATTGCGCCATTGTACTCCAGCCTTCCAGCCTGGGCAACAAGAGCGAAACTCTGTCTCAAAAAAAAAAAAAAAAAAAAAAAAGAAAGTAGCCAAGAAGTCTGTCTGTGGGCCAAGCCCTGCCAGTGTGGGACACACTGCGATGAGTCTGACCTCAGGTCTTCCTGTTATGGAGTCTGGTGGGAGAGGCACACCGCATCCTTAGGCTAGACCTTAGGCTCAGGGTGGGGAAAGCCATGGTAGAGCCTGGCCCAGGCTTGAGGAAGGCTTTATGGAAAAGGTGGTCCTCTTTTCAGATCAGGGAAGCACCCACTTGCTGCCTACCATCCCTAGCTCCCTGAGCCAGTCTTTCCTGAGACCTGGGGTCCCAGGAGTTCTGACCCTCTGGGAAACATTTTGGCCATTGGACGGTAGGAGCCTTCCACCCTTCACCCCTACCCTATGTTGGTTTGCAGGCATAGTCCTCGCAGGCAGTGGCTGGGTAGGCAAGGCTTGAAACCCTCTTGTTTCCAAAGTGGCAATGTCTGAAAATGTCCTCCTGCTGCCAGGGCAGGCACCTCCCTCTGCACCCATGCCTGTTGAGCTATGCCTGTGTATGCCACACCCCTCAGGTCCTTAGTCAGGACCATGTTCCCCCATGACCCATCTTCTCCAAAGGAGGGAATTCCCTGTCCCTTTGGCTTAGGAGCCTCCCTGGGGCCTCAAGCTCAGCTCTGTCACACCAGCTCCTGATTCTTGGCCACCATGAACCACAGGCTAGGTAGGCTCAGGTGGGGCCTTGACCCCAGGCCTCAGTTTCCTCATGGGACACTTGTGAGGATTTAACAGATTAATACAGGAAAAGCTCTGGGAGCAGGATCAGGCCAGAGGGAGTGGCCAGGAACTATCAGATACAGTTCTTGAGATGGAGTGTTGCTCTGTCTCCCAGGCTGGAGTGTAGTGGCACGATCCTGATCCACCGCAACCTCTACCTCCCGGGCTTAAGCAGTTCTCCCGCCTCAGCCTCCCGAGTAGCTGGGACTAGAGAAATCCGCCACCATGCCCATGCCCGGCAAATTTTTGCACTTTTAGCAGAGACGAGGTTTCACCATGTTGGCCAGGCTGGTCTCAAACTCCGAACTCAAGTGATCTGCCCACCTTGGTCTCACAAAGTGTTGGGATTATAGGCGTGAGCCACTGTGCCCAGCAGAAATGCTAAGAATGGGAGGATGTCTGTAAAGGGCTTAGCTGGGGTTGATTAAACACTTAACATGACACAGGTGTGGATTAGCTCATTTAATCCCCACCATATCCCCATGAGGTAGGCTATCCTCAACTGGGCTCAGTTGTACAGATGGGGAAGCTGAGGCGTGGAGGGGCAGGGTGACTTGGCCATGGCCCAGCTGACATGAAGGTTAGTCTGGCTTTGGCTACCTCCCCTTCCTACGTTCACAGGGGTAACTGCTTAGGCCTCTGTACCAACACCCCCAGGCACCAACTCTGATCCAGACCCCTCTGCTTCACAGGAACTGGTTGAGTGGGTGCTGGAAGAGGTGGCCCAGAGGTCCTATGCTGTGGGATCCCCAGGCAGCCCCCTCATTCTGGAGGTAGGCTGTGGATCGGGAGCCATCTCCCTCAGCCTGCTGAGCCAGCTCCCTCAGGTGAGCCTCTCCACCCACTCTGGATAGACTGCGACTGACACTCACTGTCCCTCCCATTAGTGCTTCCCCCACATCCCTCTGCTAGGAGCACTTGAGGGGAAGCGGCTAGATGAGGGAGGACAGGGCTGCCCCTAGCCCACTGTGGTTCACAGACTCTAATGCCTACCACATGTATCTGGCTAGATTTTGGCCAAGAAGAAAAGGCTGTTGGGTATTTCCCTTCTCTTCTGGTGGGGGGTTGGAGGAGGGTCTCCCAGGCCCAGTATCTCCCAGCATCTCTCAGCATTGCCTTCCACATATCCTCTGTTTGTTCTTGGGACAGAGCCGAGTCATTGCTGTGGATAAGGGGGAAGCTGCCATCTCTCTGACCCATGAGAACGCTCAGAGGTAGGTGGGGGAGTTGCACTTTGGAGCCTGATCTTGACTCCTTTTCAGGTTTCAAACTGACTAATGTCTGATTTCTCCTGCCAAGAAGGAGGAAGCAGTGGGGTAGCCTGGCATGGGTCCCATGGGGTTCTGAATGGGTAGTGGGCAGTGAGTATCTTGCCGGTCCAAGAAAGGTTGACTACAAGACCTCATTCTTTTGTGTTTTGTTTTTTTTTTTTTTTTTTTTTTTTTTGAGATGGAGTCTCGCTCTGTCGCCCAGGCTGGAGTGCAGTGGCCAGATCTCAGCTCACTGCAAGCTCCGCCTCCCGGGTTTACGCCATTCTCCGACCTCAGCCTCCCGAGTAGCTGGGACTACAGGCGCCCGCCACCTCGCCCGGCTAGTTTTTTTTTTTTTTTGTATTTTTTAGTAGAGACGGGGTTTCACTGTGTTAGCCGGGATGGTCTCGATCTCCTGACCTCGTGATCCGCCCATCTCGGCCTCCCAAAGTGCTGGGATTACAGGCTTGAGCCACCGCGCCCGGCCCAAGACCTCATTCTTGTAGTGAAGGGTAGGGATCTGCCCCCGTGCCCACCCCTTTCTCCCTGTCTATCTAGGCTTCAGTTGCAGGACAGGATTTGGATCATCCACCTCGACATGACCTCAGGTACCCTCCCCTGAATGTTCCTTAACATAGGGAGACTAGATACAGGTGCTGCTGGGTGGATGAGGCACTCCGCGGACATGGAGGGAGGGCTTCCCCAAAAGCCACACAACCACACACATGAACACACACAAATGTGTGTGTGTGTGTGGTTGTGTGTGGCAGTTCAAACGAAGCCTTGGCTGAGGACAGACAAGTTGCTTTTGCCTCCTAGGCTGACCTGACCCATAAGGGTCAGGTCAATGAATTCCTCATAACTAATGAGTTAAGGACTTGCTTGTTGATAAGCAACAACAGATAAGCAAAAGCTTAAAATAATGCCTTCAGGACCAAAATACTTGAGTGCCCCTCTCCCCCTGCCTGGCCTGGGAAGAAGCGATCCAGGCACTGCACAGCTCAGCCATAGCCTTTACAGTGTCTCTGGGCCTCCAACTCCAGTTCTGGCTCCATTGCCTTACCCATGGGATCCTTGAGCCTCATGTGCCCCCCCCATGGAGTGTGATATACTTGGTGTAGCACCCGGCACAGGGTGAAACCAGTAGTCAGAGCCATCAGGAATTGGCTGATGAGGCCAGGCCCACCCTCTGTGTACTCTCAGTCCATGTTGGCTATAAGGCTGGTGGAGCTACAGAAGAGAAAGGCTCTTTCCTGCCTAGGCAATCAGGAAGGATGCCCTGGAAGTGGCACTTGAACGGAGTCTTGTGTAATGAGGATTTTTGGCAAGGACACTCTATGTCTTGAAATGAAGGGCTGCCATGTTAAAGCATGCACATCCTCCACCAGGCTGTCAGCTGAGGACCCTGGGCACTAATTTGCAGGTCTGACTTATCAGATCCAGTGGCAGGCCCAAGGTGTGGCGTGATAAGAGGGACATAGTGGCAGGGGGAGCTACCATCCTTTACCTCCCAATGGGTTAGTCCCTACTGTGTGTCCTCTTCTTTGACGACAGAAAGGAGCTGGACACACTTGCCCTGGGGCCCTGTGGACCTGGTCATCAGCAACCCTCCCTACATCTTCCACCAGGACATGGAACAGCTGGCCCCCGAGATCCGCAGGTGCTAAGCAGGGTGGGCCAGGGAGGCCAGGCCTGGAAAGGCCTAATGGGATTAGTCTGCCCTCGATCGAGGACCACGTCATCTAGAGGGACAGAGGAGTTGGTGCTGAAACAGGCAGTGGTGTTACGTGGATGCACTGGAGAGCCCACAATCCTACCTAGATTCAGCATCTGCCTCCCTACTTAAGACTACTGAACAGCCACCGAACCTCTCTGGGCCTGTTTCCTGCCTCTGAAAAAAGAGAGGCAGTGCTCTGCAGGGCCATGGGAGGACTCAGTGACGACTTGAAAGCATCAAACACAGTGGAGGACTCATAGGGGGTGCTATGTAGATGGGCACATCATTTTATAGAATACTGAGGCCCAGAAAGGGAAGGTGTCTTGTCTGTGGTCACATGGGGGCTCAGTGGGAAAGCTGGGACTAAAACTTGGCCCCAGGCTAGCTTTGCACCAGGCGATCCTGCTCTTACACAGGGGCTGAGAACCAGGGGCAGCCCAGGAGTCCTGGATGGGGCAGCAGTCATGTTGGATGGGGTTGGGGTGTTGGCTCTCCCTTTCTGGGCTCTCAGGAGTGGTCAGGACTAGCCCCAGATCTCCCAAACCAAGAAGAGGAGCAGCCTTGTGGGGAGACATTCATGCCCTGACATGAGTCAGTCCATCAGGAGAGGCCATCAGCCAGTGGGATTCAGCAAGCACGCCTGGCACTGCCTGGCAGGGTGCTGCCCATGAGAGGAAGGGAAGAGGAGCTGCCACCCATTTGGGGCCCTCCTTCTCTGGGTCCTCAGATTTGCCCTTCAGTCTAGAGTGTAAGTTCCACAGGGCCCCATTTGTGGAGGCTCTGCCCATACCCTCCGTGCATTTCAGATACCCCTTCCTCAGGCTGTCACCTCCCACTGCTTTCCCTTTCAGCTATGAAGACCCTGCGGCCCTGGACGGTGGGGAGGAGGGCATGGACATCATTACCCACATCCTGGCCCTGGCACCCCGGCTCCTGAAGGACTCTGGGTATGAATGGGATGGGTCTCCTAGGTCTGTCCCCAGCAGCCTCCACTGCTCCTAATGTGTACTGGGCAGGCCCTGGCAGAGATGAGCACAGGACCCTCACCTCATCAGCCCAAGCAGCCCAGAAGGGCAGGCCCCAGACCTGTCCTACTGAGCCTACCCATTTCTCCCCCATGTAGTAGTATCTTCTTAGAAGTGGACCCAAGGCACCCGGAGCTTGTCAGCAGCTGGCTTCAGAGCCGGCCTGAACTGTACCTTAATCTTGTGGCTGTGCGCAAGGACTTCTGTGGGAGGTGAGCTCCTACCCCTCTTTAGCCCTGTAGCATGCTGGTCTTTCCACTGGGGCCATCCTCAGCCCTGGCTGTCAGGAGAGTGTGCTGTTCCCACTCCCTGCTCATTCCCCGAGGCCCAGGTGGTAACCAGCCCCTATCCCTGTCTCCTCAGGTCCCGGTTCCTGCATATCCAGAGGTCTAGGCCATAGTGTGGCTGCCCTGTGGATGCCTTGTCAGTGGCGCCAGCCTGACCGGAGGGAGGTGGATGGCACTTTCCAGAACCCAAGTGCTTATGGCATTTCCCAAGGTTCTGTGATTTCCCCATGCTCTGCATTTCTAGGATATTTCTAGGACACCTGGGTAGACCCAAGTTCTCAGTCTGGCTCCATCACATCAGGGTGGCCGAGGGCAGTTGCTGTGTGTTGGTGAAATAGATGTGGGAGTATTGGGGGATATGGCCAGTAAAGTATTGAGAGATTAACAAATGGTGACCTAATGATTTGTTCCATGACTTGCAGGTCCGCTGACCCCTTACTCCCAGGTAGCGCCAGGGCGAGAGTTTCCTTCTGCCCCAGCAGGGCTGGCCATCAGTACCCTGCTTGGTAGGGGTATGCGGGTGCAGCGTGGAGGAAGGCACGTGAGTCCTCACTCCTGGCCTTGGATACCATGGGGCCTGGTGTAGAGCAGCTCACTCCCAGGGACTGATCAGTCCTCCACTGCCCTGGGTGCATGCGAACACACTTCCCTGGCCAAGCCTGGCTCAAGCACAGGAAGCTCATCTGCATTTCGGCTTAAGGATGACTGCCTGCTTTCTGGAGGGGAGGGCCTGGAGGTCCTTGCTGCACAGTTCCTGGGTCGCACATCCACATTCATTTAACGGAAGGCTTGAGCCAGTGAGGGGTGTTTCCTTTTTATCCCCATAGCTTTTAACTAAAACATCCCTCCTGAGTTGACCCCCTGGGGTTTCAAATAACCCATGTGTACCTGGTTAGGGCTGGGGAGAGTGAGAAACTGAGATACTGGGCACAGGATTGTGGCCTCCACCCCAGCTCTGGTCTGTGCAGACTCATGGCCACCAGGAGGCTTGCAGATCCAGCCTTCCTATCAACAGTGACAGGAAATCTCTAGGTTGGTGAGTACAGGTGGTGTGAGCCTGCTTCAGGGTGGGTCCTAAGGAACATGGCAAACCAGGCTGGCTCATTCCACTAGACTGCCCCCTGCCACTCCAGCACTTCCCAGGGCCTGGCAGTATGGTCTGATGAGCAGTGTGATCCAATGGGCAGCATCCTCTGCTGCAGCCAGGAGAGCTGAGTTCCAAGGCTGTGTCCTGCAGTGGGACCTTGGGCAGCTCCTTTCCCTATGAGAAGCTGGCTCTTCTGAGTCCAAGGTCAACGCCAAGTGGCAGCCTCTTTCCTCTTAGCCAGTAGAATGTGCATGCTGGCATCTGAATGTCCATTCTCCAGGCAGAGAGAACAAGAGAAGGTGTGAACTGCCTGAGGTCCCATGATAGTGGCCAAGTGGAGATAGTAAGTTAGATCCGTCCCTTTGGGGAGCCTATATTGCTGGAGTCACACCCAGCCTAAGTGTCGCCCTGCACTATGGCTGGAGGATGCATTTGGCAGAGGTCACGCTACAGCTCCTAGCGCCCCAGTGGCCTGCCCCATGCCCAGCCCCAGCTGCATGAACCTTGAGCTGCCCCTGGCTTCCTTTGAGGAGGCTGCTCCAGAAGGAACTTGGGTTGGGAGGCGAAGGGGTGCACAACCAGGGCGAGGCTCCCCACTCCCTGAGTTCCCTGTGCTCACAGACCTTTGCCTGCTAAGGTCCTCACCAGTGTTGCCCTTTCTGTCTTCCTCCCTGTGCCGTTTGGCTCTTGCTGTCTTCAGCAGCATCTCAGGGTAGTTGCCGTGACCTTAGTGCAGTCTGTCATCCCCCACCCCTCAGCCAGTCCTGGCTTCCCTGATGGTCTCACCCTCCTGGCCTCAGGCCCATTCCTGAGGAAGGGCCTTGGCGAGCTTGTGGATGTTGCACCAGAAGAGAGTGCAGTGTTGGAGAGTGACAGTGTTGGGGCAGCTGGGGCCACAAGCAGGAGCGGCCCTCAGGGACAACTTTCTGCCCAGAAAAATGTGCAGCTTGACTCTGCTGAGGAAAAGATCCAAGCCAAGAGGACTGGCAGGTGGGGCCTCAAGCCTGCAGCCACTGGCTTGATTGGGCCCTGGACATTGAGCCCTGATGTTGTAGCCACCCCAGCCTGGATTTCAATCCCAGAATCTGCCCCTCACCACAATGTGACCTTGGGCAGATGACTTCACCTCACTCAGCCTTGGCTTCTAAGACTGAGAAATGTGACTAAATGCTTTATTTCTTTTTTTTTTTTTTTGAGACGGAGTCTCGCTCTGTCGTTTACGCCATTCTCCTGCCTCAGCCTCCCGAGTAGCTGGGACTACAGGCGCCCGCCACCTCGCCCGGCTAGTTTTTTGTATTTTTAGTAGAGACGGGGTTTCACCATGTTAGCCAGGATGGTCTCGATCTCCTGACCTTGTGATCCGCCCGTCTCGGCCTCCCAAAGTGCTGGTATTACAGGCTTGAGCCACCGCGCCCGGCCCTAAATGCTTTATTTCATAGGATGCGTGTGAGGAACCCATGGAAGGTGCCTGGCTTGGCACATTGTGGCATTTTTTCTTGCCTTCCCCAGAGGGCAGACACAGGGAGGAAGGACCTGGTGCTCTCAGGCATCCATCTGATGCTTGGGACCAACATAAGGTAGGCAGGGATACAAGGCAGTCTGGAAAGAAGGGTAGGCAGGAGTTTCAGTCTTGGGCTCTTGACTCCTCATTGTTGTCTAGAGATGGAGCCAGCAGGCTGGTAGCCTGGCAGCCCACATCTCCCCTCAGCCCCTCCTCACTATGGCCCCAGTGCCTTGAGGCCCAGGCCAGGGCAGCCAGTGGCTCCAGCTCAGGGAAAGCCAGGCTCACCTGCCCTATCCCCTCCCTTGCTCCTGAGGCCAAAGCCAGAGACTTGAACTACCTCCCCATCACCACCAGCATATGTCAAGAAGCACTTGCAGGCAGAATGGGAGGAGGACATGGAGCTGATGGTGGAGTCCAGGCTGTGCAGGCCCCTGAGGTCTTGAGAGATGTGCCTACTGCCCATGCAGCCTCCTTCAGCCAGAGCCCAGAGCACAGACAGGAGTGTAGGAGTCCCTGTTTGATGTACTCTGGGAAAGTAATTCTAACTCCTCTTCTGATAGTTGGGGAAACTGAGGCCTTATCTCACAGTTGGATGCTTTTCCCAGTTGTCAATGGGTTTCTCCATGGGGCTCATCCAGCTGCCTTATTGAAATATGCCTCCAACCCTGTAAATGCAAGAAATCTCTTTTTGGCTCCTTTACCCCCACCTGGGCCCTGGGCCATTGGCTGCTCCCAATCCCTGCCCCAAACACTTGACTGGCTCCCCATGACTTAAGTGTGTTCTCTTGTGTCCTATGGAATCCAGTTCTGAAGAGATGGGGGAGGACAACTGTGGGAAAAGCCCTGGGGGCCCTCCCAAGGCCCCATTAGTGCTCTGAGTAGGCTGCCATCAGAATAAAGGGTTCCACTGCTGACAAGGTTTGAGAACTGCTGGCTTGAGGTGGGAACCCCTTTAACCTCTGCGGGACAGCATGTCTTTCCCTATCCACCTTCGATTCTTTTCTCTCTTCATTGGCTTCTTCTTAGTGGATTCTTTTCTCTACTGCCCTGGGCTTCAGCCTTTGTGCAGCATTGTTGATGCCCTGAACACACACCTTCCCTCTGCCCAGGCAGTGCAAACAATCCACTTCTTCAAGCTCCAACACAAATGCTGCTTCCTTTAGGACAACTGCTGTGTGCTCTCCCTGCCTCCCCTAGCTCATACCTCTGCCGGCACCAATGACCTTCTGTACCATGCCTTCAGAAACCTTCTTATCCCCCTCATCTCTGGGGCCCCCTGTGGATCTGGCATACCCAGATTCAGTAAATGTCTACCGGTAAGCTGATGGTACATGCATTTTCTAGAATAGAGCTGGGACTTCCCATGTGGCCCACATCTGACCTGGTGGCCCATGTATTCTGGTCATTAGGGAGAGGAAGCCATGAGGACCTGGCCTTCTGCCCGACCCAGGCAGCCATTCAAGTTGAGCAGTGGCCACTTCGAATGCTCAAGTGCACCTGATCCCTGTGCGACAGCCATGCCAGGAGAACAGGCTGTCCTTGGCGGCAGTAGGAGCAGGCGCCAGGTTTCCTGGAGCTCTTGGCTTCAGCCAGCCCCCAGTCAGAGTCCTGGCTAGGGCAGAGACCTGATCTCCCCCTCATGACTTTCTACCTTGGACAAGCCCCCTGAACTGGATTTGGGACTGTCAAAGCAACTCTACCACTGCTTTGGTAGGCTGAACAGTGACCCCCCAAAATCGCAGTGTCTTAATCACCTAATCCTTAACATGTGACTATATTACCTTCACATAGCAAAATGGACTTTGCAGATGTGATTAAGGATCTTGAGATGGAAAGAGTATCCTGGATTTTTCAGGTAAACAGTATAATCACAAGGGCCTCTGTAAAGGAGGCAGGAGTGTCAGAGTGATGGAAGAAAATGTATGTAACAATGGAAGCAGAGGTCAGAGTGATGCAATTGCTGGAGGAAGAGCCATGAGCCAAGGAATGCAGACAGCCTTTTCTTCCCTGGGGCCTCAAGAAGAATGCAGTCCTGCCAACACCTTGATGTTAAGCCCTGTGAAACTGATTTCAGATTGCTGACCTCCAGAATAGTAAGATCATAGGTTTGTGTTGTTTTCAGCCACTAAATGTGTGATAATTTGTTACAGCAGCCATGGGAAATGAATACAGATTGTGGTGCCCAAATTAGTGCTGCTGTAACACATGCCTACTGACTGAAGTGGCTTTGGAATTGCAATGTGGAAATGGGCAGAGGCTGGACGAATTTTGAGTCATGATAAATTGCCTTAACCACCTCTCTTCAGATAGGTGATATGGCCCAGGGAACTCTTCCTCAACCTTCAGACCTAAACTGCCCAGGCTCCCCATTTTTTACTCTTACTTGGAGAGGGGTGGCCCTTTCCCAGAGTGAGAAGACTGGAAGACTGACCAGCATGGGTCCCAGAAGGGAGTGGGTGAGGAATGGTACTGGGATGTGGGGAGAGAGTGCAAGGCTGGCCTCCATGACCCATCTCCAGAGACTGGGTCCAGAGAGGACCTCAGAGACTGGGGCCAAGCCTGTTCCTGCTTTCCTGTGGAGTTAATATGACTGGCCCAGGACCCCTTGGGTGTGTGAGGATGAGCAGGGGCCCTATACTCTCTGGGTTGCAGGTACTGCATCTGTGAAATGAGCACAGCAGCCCCTGACTTTGAGGTAATGGGCCTGGCCCCTCCATGTAAGCCATAGGCCTGAGCAGAGCTGTGTCGCCATTCTGTTCCTATGGTGAAATGGGGCTATCCCTGGGGTTCTCAACCTCCTGGTCCCTAA